AATACCCTTCGGAAGGGGTTCGGTCGTTCGAGCTAAACGCAGAAAAAAAGAAAAAAAAAAAAAAAAAAAAAAAAAAAACTTTTCAAAAAATTCCGAAAAACAATTATGTTATGGAGACAAATTAACCAAACGACATTTGTCTGGGCACTACATCCAAATTCCTTACCAAATTTGAATTAACAATCCTATAAGAAAATAAACACTATGATAAAAAAAATAAAAAATAAAAAGAAAATTAAAATGTGTGAGTGTGCCAGCACCGTTTCGACACTGCCATCTTTGCCGATTTTTAAGTAGTTTTTGGCATTGACAAATGCCCTGAAAATTTACAGATAGGTAGTTTACATAATCAATAACTCAAAAAACTATTTGCAAAAAATAATAAAATTGTAAAGCCCCCGAAATAAAGTGCAAACAAAAAGTTAAAAGTGAAAAAAAACAAAATAGTGAGTGGGCGAGCACGTTTTGACACCCCTACCTTTGACGATTTTTAATGTTTTTTTTGGCTTAGCAGAATGGCTTCAAAATTTATAGGCGTGTAGATTACATCATAGAGAACTCACAAAAAAAATTCAGAAAAAAAAACTTACTTTTAAGCCCCAAAATATTTTTTGGCGGGGGCCGAACCTGGAGGTGTTCGGCCCACAAACGGGACCCCGAATGCTCGAACGTTTGGGGGCCAGCCCGGTGGCCCCCGAACGTTCGCACATAAGTGTTCAGATATAACATCAGACAAGCATTACACAAGCTTAGCCATACACAAAGGACAAGGAAGAAAAGCGATGGGGGAGCAGAGAAGAAGACAAGACGAATTGGATAAAATCCGAGCACAGGACGCGTCATTTCAAAAATAACAATAGTGAAGTACACGACGCGAGGCGGCGCGACCCGACGCCGCGTTTCGACCAGTCGCCAGCTGGTCTTAACCGGTCCGCTGCACATGCTCCTTCCGACGCACATCTACTAATCGCGAACGATATCCAACATAGGTATGCTTGCACCAAGGTGAAACGAGGATATATACTACTGGGCCTGGACAACTAGAGAAGTCATATCCGAAAGACGCTAGAGCAGAAAGGTATGGAGAATACTTGACAGCCCAGGGAATCGCCGAAGAGAGAATAAGTAGAATTACCAAACTACGAAAGAGCTTATTCAGATAGATGTTACTCAGCCCAGCCTTATAATTCCTTAACTTACGAACATCAGAAAGTATCGAGTAAATCCGTCTGGCGCTCGGAGCCGAATCTACGAGGATTCCGAGTTCAAGGATGCATCAGCGGACACACCAGCAACGTCCACGGAGTCATCCCCATCCGGATCACCATCCACGTGTTCCTCTCGCTCATCGTCACTAATCAACTGCTGGTTGGTTGGTCGATCAAAGGCTCTGTTTGTGTAGATATCCACCAGATCTGCCGCAGTCTTCTTAACACCGGCGTAGTCGATCTCCTCATCCGTGCACAACTTTTCGAGTTGTCCTTTCCGGAGCTTTCCGATATCATTGCACACTCTCTTATAGAAGGCGTCTCGCTCCTCGCCAACCTTCCTTACGAATGTAACCCTCACTTGATCGCCATTCTTGGATCCGGGACTATTTGCAACCTTGTGGCTCCTTCGTCGGAATGATACCTTCCGTTTGATACTGGAGGGGGTCGCAATCTTGATCCTGTTGATCCTCTCCTTAAGCGCCGAGACCTCTCGCTCGGCCATATCTTTCTCATCGCGAATCTTCCGATACTTTTTCGCAAGCTTCGCCCAATCAGCCGGGGTTGATGAACCCTCTTGCTGATGCGATTTTCCTTTTGCAGGCTCAGTAGGAGGACTTTTCTCCCTAACTGCTTCCGAGGTACGCTTGTTACTTCTCTTGAAGACTTCAATCTCGCTCCTGAGAGCCAAAAAATCATGAACCAGTGCCTCATTATCGGCTTTGATGGAATCCAACTCCCGATTCACTCTACCCGAGGCAATTCGTACGAGATCCTCATTTTCTCGTCTCTGCTTCTCCAACTCCTCCTTTCACCGTTTTTCCACTTGTTCTCTCGCTGCGGAATCCTCCCGCCGCCAACGTTCCTCTTGCTGCTTCCGCAGCTCGTCCACCTGCCTCGCCTCAAAACTTCTGTCGACAGCATCAACAGTTGCTACAGATGCTTGACTCGTATTCGCCTTTTTCCGGACAACCTCACCACAAACTTCCTTCATACTTTCTCTAACCATCTTGTCGATCGACTGTTCAAACTCCTCGCACTCTCTCTTCGCCTTAGCTCGCTCCTCTTCGATAGCTTGAATTATCTCCTTCTCTTCTTCCTCCTTCAGTTTCTGTTCCTTATCGCGCCTTTCTCTATCTTTGGCTTCCATCTCCTCCGAATACCATCCCCACACCTTCTCCAACTTATCGTCCCTCTCCCTCTCCCTGTTCTCACTCCACCAATTGCTCAGTGGCCTTTGCTGATAACCACCTCTGTAGTAGTTACTTCCCTGCGCCTGGTTATTACCATACCCTTGGCCTTGCTGACTTCCATAACCGTGGTTGGCACCCTGGTTTTGCCGACTGCCATCGCTCTGCCCTCCGTTGACTTGTGGTGGCCTATACGGCACCAGAGCGTTCGGTGCAGGAAGCAACCCGTCATTATCATGTGGTCCGTTCGCCGCTCCTTCCCCTCCATTGCCGCTTAAGAGAGCAGCGACATTCGGGATCTGCCGAAGCTGGGAATCCCTAACAAAATGGCCGGGTTGCCTACAATGATGGCAAACCCTCTGTCCTCCGTAACTC